TTTTGTTGTATTTATCCGTGACACCTTAAAGACCAGTCCGTGAAAATATTGACAGACATAAAAGGGTCTGTGGCGCAAAAAAAGGTTGAGGACCGCTGGTCTAAATGTTTGAGGATTTAAAACAAACAAACAAACAAACAAGCAAAGAAAAAAAAAACACATTATTTTTTAAACCACTCCATCTTTATTGCTTTGTCATATTTTTACACCGATGTCCTGGAACTACTGTGATCAGGAAAACGTGGAACTCCAAACTGTCTGGATCCAAAGTTCTTCACTTCGGTTTGGACTAAACTTATCAGCAGTTACAAAACAAATTGAGAACAGAGTGTGGACAAACAGGAAACCTAGTGGATGAAATCTGAAAGGCTTTGCCACACAGCAGTTCTCTCTCTCTCTGTTTTTTTTTTATTATTATTATCAGTACATACATCTTCATAAATAAAGAACAGTCAAACCCAAAGAATAATGTTGTGTCCAGAAAGCATAAATGGAGACATTCAATGAACAGAACAGGCGACTGAGAAAGAAGATCTGTGCGACTCTAAAGAGCTTTGATCATGCATCAAGTCCTCCTCATATTCAACTTCCACACACACTGAATCATCATGATCATCATGGTGACCGTGAGAAAGCAACAGAGACCTGCACCAATCTGATCCCTGAAATCACACAAAGAAAAACTGTACACGAGAACCAGGAAGCGCGTTTGGTTGGAAAACCGACGCGGCTGATATGAAGTAGCTTAAATCCATCAGTCAGGCACCGCTCATGAGCATGAGGACTGTAACGTTAAACCACAAGAAACAGGACAGCTGGTGATGTGTTCCTTCACTGGCGTCATCTGGGAGGGAAGCCCAGCGTCAGAAGCCTGGTGAATCAAACTGCACTCCAACTAAATCCTGTTAACAGCATCAGCGCCGCTTTCACCCCATGAAGTGAAGACAGTACTTAATCCCTGTTCCTCCAGCCCCGCTCAGGCAATTTATTAAAGTGGCATCAAATCAATTCTGAGAATTAACGAATCACTGACGTAAAACTGCATTCAAAGAATAAATAAGTGTTTGGGGGCATTACATGAGGTTTAAAAAGAGGAGCCGAGGAAGGGCGATTATCCTCAGAGGAAAAGTCTGAAGCTAAAGTCGCAACGTTGTGGGAACAAACTGTAATATTCTTACAATGAGAGGCATAATCTGTAAGGACTACTCTTATATTCTGAGGTATTATGAAATTCTAGATTTTAATGTTAAAGAAAAACATTTCTGAGATGGTTGAAAAAAAATGTGAGAAAAACTGCAATTTTATTGAAATCAAATTTGTAAAAATATCAAAAATGCTGTGAGATTAAAGCTGTTAATTCACTGGATACGACTGATCTCTGAGACAAAAAGTCAAAAAAAGAAAAAGAAATGAAAATCTAATATTGTTTCCTAGGTTTGCTGCTTATTTGCAAACCAAAAAAACTACATTGATATTCTGTGAAAATATAAAAATCACAGGAAGGACAAAACTTTAATATAAATTAGTAAAAAAAAATTATTTTGATACAATAAAATCAAATTTAAATTAAAAGAAAATAAACTAATATGTATTTAGGTCATAAAGTTTGAATTTCTAAATTTGAGATGGAAAAACTAATATTCTTTGATGGTTAAAAACAAAGTCTCTCAGTACACTTCTAAGAAAGCACTGAAGTATTTGTTGAGGTTATAAAACTCAAATGTCCAACAAAAACCTCAGAAATGTCTTAAATTTGCAAGAAACATTATGAAACAGAGATTACGGTTGTAAAAACCTTTGAAATTTTCCTTTCAAAGTTTTACATTTTTGGAAATGAACAAATAAACTATGGACTATATTATATATAGCTTCAGGTTATTAAAGTCACACTGACCAATGTTAAACTGAGGTAGGAACCAATTTTGCTTTAAAAACTTGATTTAAAGACTAAAGGAGAGAAAATAATTAAAAAAAAAACCCTGTAATATCCTCTGACATTAAACTGGTTAGTTTATGATAGAAAATTATAGATTTAGAACCTATTTATTTATTTATTTTCGATTAAAGAGCCACAGTCCTCCATCCTGTACTGTTTGTAGTTCTCGCAGTTTAACAGATATTTTTGAAGGTTCAAAGTTTTTCCTCAGAACCCCCCCCCAAAAAAACAACAACAAAAAACACACACATCAGAGTGCGAGTGCGAGGAGGAGCAGAACTGATGTGACAGAAGATACCGAAGGATTTATTCACAACTTCGTGCTAGAGGAGCAGCACCAATCGAGCAGGAAAAAAGGAAACGAATGCCAACTGTCCTGTTCACACTAAAATCAAACAGCCAGATGTAACCAGGTGGTTTGTGACGTTGCCAAAGCTGTTGGTCTTACTTGGTTGGTTCTGCTAATGGTGATTAATGTAATTTTAAAAAAACAAACAAACAAACAAAAAACTACAACAACCTGAAACTGCAGTTTAGAAATAAATAATTACATTAAATCTGTAAAAACACTAAAATTCTTTAGAATTATCTGCATTTGGAAGTTTCCACCTACTAAGCTAAAAGCAACTTTTCAGAATTGAGATTGACATATTTTTTTTAATTTTTTTAATAAAGTAAAGTTTTAGTTACTTAATAAATTAAGAATACCGTTTAAAAGAGGAAATTCCTGAAGTCATCTTTAAAGCTACAAGACGAAAAATGCCAGTGAAGGAACTTTTTAAACTCAAAGACATCTTCAAGGTGCCCTGTGGAGGTTTTTCCTTTCTTTTTTCCACCACTAGGGGTGCTGTTGAGCTAAGAAAGAACACTTTTCCTGCATTTCTGATTCAGGTGTTCAAGATATTCAGCTTTTGAATGTTTATTGTGAAACAAACAAATTGACCTTGGGACCTCCACAGGGCATCTTCAGGGACACTACAGCAAACAGAGAGGAGAAATTAAGAGTCTGGTTGTTGTTAATGTGTTTAAATGTGTTAAAGTGTTAAGTTTAACCGTAACCTGGTCAGCAGGGGTGGGGATTAAACATGAAACTTAACCTCCCTTCCTTCTGGATGACTAAACCTTAATTTGAAACAAGTCAGATGTGATTTTCTTTTTGTCTTTTTTTAAAGATCCCATCACCAGTTTCGAACATACAAGTGAACACGCAGTTTTATTTTCCTCCCCTTAGCTTTTCAAAATAAAACTGTTGGATTTAAGTGAAGGAGTTATTTTAGCAGCAAGCTGAACGACCAATAAACATGATGGGCCGTCAGGTGTCCTCAAAGGATAACCCTTTATCTTCCAACCTCCTCTCTTTTAGTATCATCTGGACCACTGGAAGCACCAGGGAGTTCAGAGGGTTCTGGGCTTTTAACACCACAGAGAGAGCAGTACGAAGCATCAAAGCTCTAGTAAAGGCCAAGTATGTGGACACGTGAGTAGACCTGTAGAGGAACTCCAAAGGCTTTCCATGAGCCTGCGTTTCCAGGTGTTTAGGTGTCCAGCTGTACTGGATTATTGTTGTTTCATTTAATTTAGTGTTGGGCTTCCAGAAGACTCAACTCTGTTAATAATGAAATGAAAATTGCTGAATATTTTACTGAGTTGAGTAGAGCTGTACTGACACTGATGGAGATTCTCATCATGTAGAACCGCTGAATGTGACACCACTGAGGTCTGGCATTTGACAGTCCATGTTTAGTGCTGTAAAACAAAGCATGAGAGTCGAGGTCTGCATGTCTGGGTCTTTTTTCCATTAGACTTCTATAATCTGACTTCACAGGAGTCACCCCCTGCTGGACATTAGAAGTAACACATGTCTGCCCAAAAGGCTATGTGAATCTTTTGATATACAGTATATGTCCAAGTCAATTCACCCAGAGCCTGTGCAGGGATCAATTCTTACTGTCTGTCATCAGTAGCTCTTTGTTTGTATAGAGGCTTTATCACTTTGTATCCGGAAGCCTTAATGTCCACATACATTTGTCCATGAAGTGTATTTGCTTTGATTAATTTCACCTCCCTCTTAGTTTAAAGCTCACTGCTGCTTCCAGTAAGAGTTACCAGACTGGTTAAAGGTACTTTTTTGTTGTAAGTCTTTGTTTAAAAAGAGTTTAAAACCTAAACAAAAATCACAAACACCAACAGAATGAGAAGAAATTACTACGTTGTTACGTATGGACCTGCAGAGATATCAACTCAAGTTTGACTTCTATACAACCAGAAGCCTTTTTCCCCCAACCCAAGAAGCTGCCCCCTGCTGGTCACTAGAAAGAATGTAGGCTTTATAATGTTAGAAAAAAAGGATGCTACACTGGCCGACTGCACTTTTTGGTTCAAAGTATTGCACAACAGTACAGCCTGTCCCCATTAAAACCTCAGCTGATATCTCTGTAGCTCAGCACACAGACGCGTTGGACATAATGTCAGAACTGCTGTTTCTTTACAGTCTGTTGTTACCTTGAGTTAACTTTAAACTCATTTTAAAAGCTGGAATCTGCAGTTTGAGTACCTTTAAGACGGGAGGCTGAATTACATGTGAATGGTCCTTTAAAGAGTTTACAGGACTGCTATGAATGATTCTGTGTATAGTTTCTTAGCACTGACTGCAATCAGCCAGACCTAAAGAGATTTAAATACAGCGTAAAGTCATGAGTGTTTACAGTTGTATTATAAAACATACACACAGTAAAAGGATGAGACCCACACATAATATTTACATATATAAACAAAGAAGTCCATCACAGAGCTGCGAGGTCTGCAGCCCGCACACTTAATGGCTAATATTCACTGTACATGTGTCCCACGGCTCCGCGGCCTTCGCTAGCACGAGCGAGTGTGAGCTGAGGCCTCCGACTCGCCACGCGGCCTTTTTTTTTTTGTTCGGTTACCGACAGCGAGCTGGGGGCGGCTGGCGCTGCCGTCCGCTGAGAACCGAGCATCACTACGGCTGTTTTGTTCTGGTTTAAACCTTTGACACGCAAACACACTCACACTCACACTGAGAAATAACAGTCACCCAACCCCACAAACCTGCCCCCAACAGAAGAGATGTGCAGCAGAGGTAAACACCCTCACGACAAAATACCATGCACCACGTCTTAAGTTCTATGTGTCAAATATCAAACTGCTGTGAGGAGGGTCAGAGACACTGTTCTAACTCTACAAAAGAAGAATTATAAGAATAATGCACACAATTGACCCTTGTGGTGATGATGGTGGGAGGGGCCTCAGGTTGGTTTTCTGGATATTTACTGGGAATTTCGGCTCCCTTGGCGTCACCCTCTCTGTCCAAAGTTTGCATCCTGTCCGGGATTTGTTTCCATCGGGTCTTCTTTGAAGTTTTCACAGTGCTCCATTACTTTTCTGCAAGAAGACAACAGTCACAGGTTGGAATTTTGACCAAGACGTTCTTAATTCGTAAAAATATTATATATATATATATCTATTTTATTTCCATGGAAATCATCTGTGAAGCCACATCAGCGTTAGTTTCTTTGCTGTGCTGGGAGCTGGTCGTGACTGGTGGGCTTTATTTCTCAGCTAGCGTTAGTTTGACTCAGGAAAGATCCCATTTTTAAAAAATTGTATTACCATCTATTAAGGTAATGGTATTAAAGCACCTAACAGTAGAAAAATGTCACCTGATACATGTTTTAAAAAAAGGGCTTGTGATATCTGACCTGCTGTGTTTGTAAGAAAAAAAATACAGAAATATGTGATTCAGCCTCAAACACTCGGTGATCAGCCCCAACAACTCTTATCATCCTCTCTGCTGAATGCAACAGAGGGCTTCTAAAAGCAGGAAAATGAGGCTTTCTGACTGCTGCCCAGCCTCTGACTCAGTTACCACATCATCCTACAGTTTGTTCAGAGCCGTCAGTCTCACCGGGCCATGTCCTTTGTGTCCGGATGTGAACTCTCCAGCTCCAGAACTTTCTCCAGAAGAGTCATTCCTCCTTCTTTTATCAGCAGAGGACAATACTTGCTTGCTGCAGAGTAGGAAAAATGCAAATGGAACAAGTGTGAGATTCCCAGAGAGTGGACTGGATAGAACATTAGGCCCAAAAGAAGCAGGTAAAGAAAATAAAAAAAAATTAATTAAAAAAAAAACAAAGCAGTTTGGAGACAAGTAAACAAGTAAAGATAATAGCCATGTCCAAATTCATGGGCTGCATCCTCCTGAGGACCCGGCCTTTGCGGTCTACGTGGGCCGGGTCCTCAGGAGGTCGGGTAGGCCGGAAGTGCACGGCTGTGAAATTGGACGGTCTAGCCTTCTGATTTGCGTCATTGCTGTGTCGGAGGAGTTTAATAAACTCGGCCGTCTACTCCTTTCTATCCAAAATATAACAGGACACTGATGCAAATTCTCGATCATCTCACACTTCTGTTTGATGTTTATTCAGCTGTGTGAAAACTATAACTTTAATCTCAGCCAAACCGATTTACTTAGGAGGATGCAGCCCATGAATTTGGACACCCCCAATGTTTCACATATGTCAGGTGACATATAAACCCTTCAGGACAGCTTTAGGGGTAAACAACACGCGCTGCGCTCTCAAAGCCTCTTGATACTCACGGTAAACTGACACCAGGTTGTAAAGAGCCCATGTGGCCCAGTGCTGACTGACAGGAGAGATGCTCTGAGGCAGCAGTCGGAGGATCGGCTCGAATGACCTGAGAGAGGACCGTCGCTTTGTTAATACATTCAGACAGGACAAGCCACCAGCAGCTGTGGAAGTTCACTGTAGAGGGGAAACGGTAATCGATCACCTGTAGTTGATGTTGCGCCGCGAGCTGACGTCCCAGCTCTGGATGGCTTCCCACATCTTCTCCATCACCATGTCTCTCCGCGGCTCCTCCATCTTCCAAACCTCAGGCCCGTCAAACATGATGTGCGACAGCACTCCACAGGCGTTGTACGACACCTCAATCCCATCGGCCTTACTGTCCAGCAGGTTACTGCAAAGAAAACAGACGGAGAAGAGGACATGAAGAGGCTGAGTGGAGAGACTGTGCGGACCAATAGTAACCACCAACAGAGTCTCAGTCCAGGTGTTTCTGCCTCTGGTACCTGAACACTGTGATGAACTGTGGGGTGAGCAGCTGTGGCCTCAGAGCTTTGACCTCAGCCACGTTTCCCAGAAGACCCAACATATTGCGATGAAGCTCCTGCTTGTCTGGAAACTCCTGCAGACAGAAATCATACAACATGAGATGAAAACATTTAGAAATGATGGCACAGCGAAATTCTCCATGACGATTGCAGAACTGTATAGTCAAGTGATAATTGTATCCCCTCAAATCCACTCAGTGTTTACAGGTGAAGACAAATTTCAGACCAAACTTACAGCAGAAAAAAAACCCCCATAAAAAGCAAAAATGTAATGACTCTTTGAAAGGAACATAACAGCAAAATAAAGGTACACACTAAGTTTAAGGATAATGGTGAACTTTTTTTTTAAACTGTTTCCTCTGACACAAAATTAATTTTGACAGAAATATTTATTTTAGTATTTTTCAATTATTACACTTATCATCACCTTAACAGTGTGTGGACACGAGCTGTACACGAGTAGTGAAAGAAGGGCTGCACTTTATTTTATACTCCTAACAGCTCCTTTCATGGTTTTGGCTTTAATAACAAAAGCGATCGTTGTTCTCGAGTCATTTCTTGTGAATCGAGCAACTTCCTATATCAGTTCAGTTTCTATATCAGTTCTGAAGAATAACGAGCAGCCTGGCTCATCTTCATCACCATAGACACAGATGGGTGCAGCCCAGACTCACCTGCAGACACTCCAGGAACAGGCTCATGCCCCGACAGTTCAGGAACATCTGACAGTTGTCGGGCGTCTCGTCTGTGATGTTCCACAGGGCGCTCCAGGAAAACTCCATCACCTGGTCACACTGAGACACACACGCAAACACAAAACATCTGCTTTAAACAACAAAACAAAATAAAGTATAACTGAATAAAGGTTAGTTTTCATTTAAACGATGATGATGAAGATCTGTTTCCTGCTTCCAGGAGGTGGAAGTGTTATGTTTTCAGTGCCGCTTGTTTGCCTGCTTCTCACCAAGAATAAATAAAAACAACAAAATCTGGACTTCAGGAGATTTGGTGGAGCACTGTAACACCTTCTCAGTCATTATAAATGTCCGGGAATTTTCAAAATTAAACACCTCCACATTTGTTTCACTAAGAGGGAGAGTATACTACATTCAAGACATAAAATGCTACAAACACTCTGGCATATCAATTTAGTCACATGATTACTGAGCTGAGTTTAGTAATCATGGTTTTAATAGTAAAGCAGGGCTCATTTTGATGTATACAGTAGTATTAAAAACAAGCATGAATATTTCTCTAAAATGAGCCAGTGTCACTAGCCTGTAGGCCGTGAAAAGATGATTAAATGGGGCGCTATTAGTGAGAGAGAGTGCATCGGCCTTTGTGAGCACTCTTTCAGTTTCTAAAAGCCACATATAAATCTGTAAAGCACTTAAACTCACCATTCTGTCCTGTAACTTCTTCTGAATTAAATTCAGCATTGTCTGAGAATGAGAAAAGAGTCAGGAATGAATTTATCACCTGTATAATCAGCATCTGATTTCAGTCAAAATGCAACACAAACATGAGAAAATGCAGCTTTGCTACAGAGAAACAATCCTGAATCCACTTTGAAGGTAGGACACCAGCAACAGACTCCTGAAGGCTACTTTTACTATAACGTTTGCTTTAAGTTATCGTAAATCAGACTAAATAATGCTGCTGCAGCCATATATCACACCATAGATGTAGTACAATTTTAGCATGTCAGCCCATAGTGAGTACGATGGCATGTTGGTATAAAATTCAAATTACAGAGCACGTTCTTTTTCCAAACATGGCTAAAGCGCTGAGATTGGATCTGAAATATCTGCACTGCTGTCATCACATGCTCTCAGTGTGTTCACACAGCTTTCCTCTGGGTGCTCTGGTTTCCTGCCACACCAAAAATAAGCTTGTTAGATAATAGGAACTCCTGCTGCTGACCTTGACTGGCAATAAGTAACAGGCCTGAGATCTGAAGCGGATCACCGACTTCTACACTAAGGAGGAAATTTATCCAAGACTTTCCAAGGTTTCTTTACCCTCACAAATCCCATCTTGCCCACAGCCTCCTTATGGTGGTTGTCCACCTGGCAGACCAAAGCATTGCAGAGGTGCACGGCGATTCTCTGGATGGACTCATCCTGCCGGGCCGGCTCCAGGATCTTCAGCAGCAGCTGGTTGACGCGGCTGTACTGGAACTCGAGCTCCTCTGGGATGCTGAAGTTGCACAGAGTCAGGCAGCAGTTCCTCTGGACCTGGTGAGGAAACAGGAACTCACAGATTCACAAATCAAATGTAATCGAAGAGCGTGATTCTAAATATATGATGGCCTTTGTTAATAATCAACTGAAGGCTAAGATGCATAGTTGAGCTTCCTATCAAATAGTGGACCTGAACAATTTCTGAGCCCTTTCTGATCTCCCAATCCTGCCCCCAGTTCTGAAGACGCCGTTTTATACATACTTCAGTCCTACAATAAAAACGCAACTGAAGGTTTTAGAGCTTCACATAACACAAAATCTGCCCTTCTGCTTTAATTCTGTTAGTGTGGCCACTGACCATAACACTCTGCTCAGCTTATTTATGCAGCAGCTGGTTCATGGGGATGATATCAGACTTACAGTGACCTCCTGGTAGTGCTCCATCCCATTCAGCACCACCTGAATGACCTCCCGCCGTAACCGCACACTCTGATCGCTGCGGTACTCGGTGTTGGTCAGGTAGAAAAGAGCAGCGCTGCCCGTCACCTGGATGCTCTTATCGTATTTATGGCACTTCAGTGCTGCAATGACAAGCTGCAAACAAGGAAACAAAGGTTTCAGGGGAGGAATGAGAAGCAGTCAGGAGAGATGATCACAGGAAGTAATTGAAGGAGAACTTTAAGTCCTACCTGCAGAGCGCGGAGCAGCTGGCTGCAATGTTGTATCCTGGCGATGTCAAACAGCTGATTGATGGCTCTGTGGGCGAGCTCAGGGCGAAACTCTGTGTAAGCCTCGATAGCGTTCAGGACCTGGTCTTCATTCTTTGATCCAGTCACCTGAAAAAGTCCAGAAACACAAAGATTTAAGCAACAAAACAAACCTTGAATAAAGCGCTATAGATGGTATTAATCTGTAGTTCAGCCTGGTGTGATCAGCTGAAAGAAACCCAGGTTCAGGTACCTTATAGGCAGGGATGTGCGTCACATTACAGAGGGTGGTGTCGTACAAGCCCAGAAACTGCAGGGGCCTCTTCAGCTCCTGGAAAGGGTAGATGCTGCTCTTGCACGGTTCAGTGCTAATGGAGAGAAAAACACAGCTTGTTAAGAACCTCATTTATCATCTGAGGGTCAATAAAGGGAGATTCCAGCCTCAGCTCATCGTTACCCACCTCGGACGCCCCATCGCTTCTTCAAAGTGTGGAACTGTGCAGTTGTCTAGCATGATGTGACCCGAGATGTCCAGGGACATCAGGTGTACCAGACGCTGGACGATGGCCGTCAGGATTTTCTTGGTCATCTTAAACTTTGAGATCCGCCTGCTCTCCTGGGAGATGTCGAGGTGCCTGAAGAAGGAGGGAGTGTCATCAGTGACTATTTTTCAAGTGATCAGTGGGCATACAAGGGGAGCTACACATGTATTAAAATGACAACATGCAAACTGCTCTCAGTTTATCACAGTTTTTTTTCCTTCTCTTGGCTCAGGATGATGTCACCAAGGAGGGATTTCCCAAATATGGTCTTCTAAGGTCCACCCACTTGTGTTTACGAGGGGCAGCTGATCAGAAGAGGGTTGGAATAAATGGGGAGGAGCTGAAGCAGGTTGTTTGCGCTTGAAAATAAAACCAGGAGCTGAAACTGAGCAGAAAAGTTACTTTTAACTTGGACTTCAGTAAAATATATAAAAATATTCTAATAAACGCCCTGCGACAGACTGGCGACCTGTCCAGGGTGTACCCCGCCTCTTGGATGGATTCTAATAAGCATCAACCTAAAGTTTAACAGCAAAATATGTATGAGGACACTATAAATGCATTACTTTGCCTACTGGCCACAGATTTATGTGCATTTGCTCCTCAATCTATAAACAAGCTTAATGACATTTTACAGTCCAGTACCACCAAATTTTGTGCTTCTTCTTGATCACTGAATATAAAATGTTTACCAAGTCTTTCATTGAAGATTGAGCCATTTAGCCAAAATGACAGGGAGTCTGTTTTGACAAATAAAGATGACGCTTTAAAATCTAAGAACACTGCATCAGGTGTGAAGCACAGCAGTGGTAGCATGATGCTGCACGGCTGTTTTGCTGCCAGTGGTACTGCTACAATGAAAACCGACTACCTCCAAATTCATCAACTTTAACTCAGCATCTAGATGGCTTAAACTTAGACATAGTTTGATGTTCCAACAGGACAGTGATCCCAAACACATCAAAACTGGTCTTAGAATAAATAAAGCAGGCAAACATTAAGCTTCTGGAATTCCCTTCCTGCTTAAATGCCAGAGTTCGTGCCAGGACACCAAACAATTTAAATGTGATCAAATATCCAGCCAGAATTATCAGGGAAGCTTGTTGATGGCTACCAAAGCATCTGGTTGCTAAGGACTCCTCAGCAATTTGCTAAGGGACATTTAAATATTAGTGGAGATATATCTTTTAACCCTGTGTGGATTAGAGAAAATCCAAAATAAAATCAAACTTGTGCACTCAGTTCTTGTTTGTTTGTTTGGCTTTTTTTACAGCCCTTACAGATTTATGCGGTACAGTCATTTCACAGAACAGTTTAAAGATATCATTAAAAGCCCAAGATTCCCCATCATTCATGCCCATGATTAGTTTATGGAAACTTCAGTGTCTGATGAAAGGTCTCCTTTTACCTACAAGAGATGACCACAGCAGATAGATCTGAATTTTTTGATTTGGCACTGATTTTCACACTGGTTGCCCTCTTTGACCCTTCTGTGGATTTAGGTCTCCTCCCAGTCTTGAACCAGACATTAATACTTTTTATTTGATGCGTTAAATGAACGTTAACCTCTCATCCCCCACCCCACAGAGCTTACCTGAGATTAACGAGCTCCAAAACTGTGCTGATCAACTCCTCGGATAGGTCCACGTTGTAGAGAACAAGAGAGGCCAGTCTGTCCCTCCACTGGGTGAGAAAAGATGTCCCCAGTAACTGTACATTGGACAGATCTAGCGAGGTGAGCGACTTCAGGGGTTTGAGCAGTGTCTCGGGGTCCAGCTCTTTCGGCATGCCACCCAGGTTGAGCAGCCTGAGCCGGTTGAATCCCTGGAAGTTAAAGTCTGTTTCTAAAGCATGCCGAGAGGCGGGGCTCTCCTCCTCGTCCTCGTCTGTGTCCTCGTTGCAGGCGAGTGGGGCGCCGCACTTCCTGTAGAAGATGTTGCTGCAGCCGAAGAGACAGAGAGACACCAAAGTGTCGCGGAAGCAGGACAGTGCTTTCAAGCTGCGGGACGACAGGTTGTTGCAGTAGGTGAGGTGGAGCTCGATCAGGTCCTGCACACAAAGGCAGTGATTAGTGGGGCCAAGAGAAGAAACCACTGACATTAACTTCTCACTGTCTCTATATCATGAAATTCCTGTCAGACGGGGTTTTCCCAGGCTTGTGACATGAATTCTCTCCTTCCTCCAGTTTTGTGCATTTACTTCAAATAATTAGCATTTTTGATGATAACAAGGTCAGAAAAATACATCAGAGTTCTGTTAAACAAGGCATTCATTCACTTGACTTTACACTCTAATCGTGCTTACTGCCATGCAAAGCCTTGTTCTGAGCTCATGTTTCCTTCACACAGGCTTTATTTGTGCGGGCCACCAGTGAGGACAATGCCAGTCACACTTAATTTACTAGCAAACATTTCCCTCAGTCCTATTTTGAAAATTCAGTTGCTGTCAGCTCTAGCACTTCGTGTATCCACTGGCTGGCTCTCTGGGAACGTTGCTGCTGTGCCAGTCCTCAATATAAATCCTCAGAGAGGATGTCATCCAGCAGTCAGATAGACTCCTGCTCCTCCATCTTGGACTGCAGCTGCTAGTGCTCGCTCTGCAGCCTCGGTTTGTTTAGATTAGAAGCACATAGACCACTTCTCCACCTGCTGCAGGTTCTCCTTAAAGTGACCCACCACCAACTACAGTCAAGAAGGTAAAGCTGGAGTCTGTCCAACAACAGAATGAGAGACATGGGGAATTTTATAGCTGCATGTTCGGCATTTTTTCCCCCAGCTTTTTAGTTTATTAATAACCTGTGGGTGAAACCTCATGGCAGATCTGAAACACAGGGACACTGTGTGATCACACAATAGCAACCTACCAATCACAAGTTAGCCCCACCCTAAATCCTCCCTGCCTTGATGCCCTTTTTCACTCTACTTTTCTGAATTATGGTCCCATTAGAGTCTGAGATCATAAACTCATCGGGAAAGTCTCTACTGAGGTCAAAGGTCAAGTAACAAACAGATTTATACACAGACTTGTTTTTAAAACCAGGGCAGTTCACATCAGAGCACACAACACTACAGTGGGAGCTGAAAATAGTTTTTGCTGTTGTTAGTCTTTTATTTGTAATGTTATCACTATTTAGGACAAACAGTCCAGAATCCACACACAGTAACACTGTGATCCAGGAGGGGAACGAGCAGCCACGTCTCCATGGGACACATGAAACTCTGCTCTCTGTGCTCCCTCAAGCTCATCTATCTCAGTGCCCAAGGTTGTGCTTAATGTTTTGCTGCTGTAACGCAGGAATTTATGGATAAATACAGTTTATATAACTTCATCTTATCTAAATTATACAGTTATTTTGTGCTTAGAGACATTTTAGGAGAATTCCCTTGTCACTTATAATTTTATTTAAATCTGATTTGTTCAGTTTTGTGAGAAACACACTGCAGGTGTAATGCCTGAGACTCCCCATCAACTTTTAGAACTGAAGAAACCTTTTGGATCACAGGCGAGACATCTTCAAGAACCCACAGGAAGCTCAGCTGCCTTAAACTCAAGCATTTTAAACTATCCAGTGTTTAAATGTTAATCAAATCAAAATTTATTTATATAGCACATATTAAAACAACAGTGTTGACCATAGTGCTTCACAGTCAATAAAAACATGAGACAGTTAAAACAAACAATAAAAGAGGACAACAAACAATAGGTAACAACGCAACAAGCTAAAACAGCCAACTAGACAGAATCAAAAGCCAAAGTAAAAAAATAAGTTTTAAGACGTAATTTAAAAGACTGGATAGACTCCGTCACATGTTCTGTCAGCTACACCATCCACCTTCAATGCAGTTTTTCTTCCATGATTTCTGATACTTTATGGATAGTTTATCTCAAAACAGAGATTTTATTTTTTAGAATAAGTACCAACCAGAAATTAGAAGCAGCATTAGCTGAACAAAAACTAATTTTCTTAATTTTTGGTGGGTTTCGATGGTCATATCTCCTGCCAAAAGCTTAAACTGGTGTGGTTACTCTTACCACCTTGTTGCCTCCCACCTGTTTTTTGATGGCTTCCAGGTCTCTGTCACGGACAAAGTCCTCTCTGAGCTGCACCCGGGTCAGTCTGGTGCTCCGGGGATCTGAGAAGAGCTGGAAGAAGCTCTCCTCTGGTTCAAAGTTACTGTCTGTGTGGACCAGTTCCATGTATCTGTAAAAAAAAAACAACAACAACAAAAAGCAATTAAAAGTCCATGGCTACTGACATGACAGGCTGAACCCTTTAGACTGTTACTCACGTGTTGACCAGCTTGTCGCAGATCTCGCTGGGGAGGAAGATGTCTGAGCGCAGGCACAGCTTGTTCCTGAAGCCCTGGTAGCACATCGTCTTCTTCAGGTTCCTCAGGCAGAAGACAGTTGCCAGAGTCATGAGGCTGTCGGGGTTGTCTCCTGCTTTGGCTGCCATGTTCGCCTCTTCTTCTCTGGCTCAGATCAAGACGGGGCAGTGCAGGGGACCTGTGAGAATAAAACGAGTGAAGCATTTCTAATGAAACAGAAGAAAAAAAATAGTTCCCTTTTCTAAGCCTTTAAACCAGAGAACATGTTTGATTTTCCCAACTAAACAGCACCCAGATTTACTCAGTAACAGCTGTAAGAGACAGATCAGTTTAGCCTCGGATCGCTCGTGCAAATAAATTCACTGGAGATTTCTGGGCTATTTCAACCCATAAATATTCAGGCAATAGAAGAACTACTTCCTTCCAAAGTATGACCATAATGATCCCACCACATACACTTTACTCGGAAAATTGGGTATATTTAGCAAGTAAATTTAGCATTTTTAAGTTACGGTCAGGGTTTTTACACTGCTCAGAAAAACAACTGGCCCACAAGTAATTTAGACAATGAATGAGGGGGATCACATGAGCATTTTCCTGTTAATTTTGGCCATTTGATTAAGAAAATTGGTGACTTTCTTTAGGCGGAAGGCCAAAGCGCTTCTATGCGTTAGCAACCTTGGTACTATATTTGATATATCAGGTAACTATACGGTTTTACAGATAATAACATTGTTTATTCTAGAAGCCCTATGTTATTTTTAGAGCAATTCGAGTGGTGTGCTTGCAACCTTTTAAGCCTTCCTCTTGTGGTGAAATGATTATCATCAGAGCTATGTGCATATGCAAAAACATTTCTTATTTCTTATCAAATAGACAAGCAGACTGCGCCTGCAGACCTCGACCAACGGTGAAAGTTAACTCCACTCAAAACTCGGTCCCTGTCCCATTCATAACACAATAATTATTTAAACAGTTATAATCATATTTTTATAGATGCTGACACTTTTATTTTGAGTTTAATTGTTGAAAATCACAATAAACAGAAGTACTTTGATCGTGAAACTGCTATTATCCCCCCCAAACACACACAAATTTTCTGTACTTTTTACATTAACATCACGATTTTTTTTACCACTATAACCTCACATTGTGACTGCTCTGATCACTGCTATTACAAATGTTAAAATAAGATAATACCTGCCACTTAGCATTAACTGCTGCCTGAAACTGAATATGTAACAAAATTATTTTTTGTAAACTCCACTAAAGGTTCAAACACTTCATTCTGCAAGTTGATAAAATACTTTAAATGCAAAACTTTTCTGTGGCATAAGTTGGGAGCTGAAGTGAGCTGTCTGCCTACAAACTCGCTCAGTTTTTGTCCTGTCAGTTAAATGAACATGTTTCTGTTAAAGGGCCTAACTGCTGTCACACAGCGTGTTTACACTTATTTGCATCTTTGCATACATGTTAGCATTTTACTTCTAACTGCTCTGTACCTCCTAACATTTTCTATAAACACATTTTTCGTGTTAATACCAAAAGGTGATCACTGCTCCTGTTGGACTGAAGCCAGAGGTCCAGCTTTCACTGTTTTTTTTTCTGTTGAGTTAGCCAAACACTCACACAGCAATGAATTCTGACTGTTACCAAGTTAGCAAGCTAGCTTAGCTAGCTACCTATACTGCAAAATAATTCCTTTTAACATCATTAACGCTGCGAGAAAACACACAACAGTCATGAGTGAGTCTCAACAGGCTCAAACACCGTGGATGAGCACTTGTTATTCAGAGTTTAGTTATAACTCGGGTCAGCAGTGGATTTCAGCGTCTGCATTAGCTCAAAGCTAACGATGACTTTCCCCCTGTGCTACGACGCTAGCAGACTTAGCCGGAGGAGCTAGCGCAGAGCTGTGCGTGTGTTTAGCCGGGATCCGAGCGCAGGGCAGCGGCATCTGAGTGCCAGGTTCCCCCGCTGGGGTCCTACCTTAGCTCTCGCCAAGGCTTCGCGTTCCGGTAGTAGCGACAAACTGATAATTATCAGCAGCCTTCACTCATCTGATTTTCGATTTCACCCGATGTCAACAAACAGGCTCCGCCTCCTGCTACTTCTACAACTCTTCTTCTTCGTCGTCTTTTTCTTCTCCGAGGTCGGTGGCATCCAGCAGCCAGGTGTACTTCCGCCAGTGGAGTGAGGCTGATTCCAAATCTGCAGAAATACTCCTATAAATATGGATATCCAACAAAGTAATACATTAAACAATACCAATAACGGTTCATTATTAACCTGTAAAGTTTACGTAAATCGCCACAAGTAAAAAGATGTTTATAGTCACACATACTATTTGACGTGGACACCTATTTAAATTCTGTTAAACCCAAGATCGTTCGCAGATTAGTCCTTTATTTTCTTGCCTCTCAGCAGCCATCTTGGTCATCCCAGCAGTTCTTTTGAGTACTGGATCAAAAATCAAAATTAGACCCACCAAGATATTAAAAACATACAGGAAAAAAGGTAAATGTATCTTGTATGGAGGACGAAATCTGATGAATTTTTAAAAAACAAAAACAAAACAAAACCTTGTTTTAAATTTTATTTGTCATTTCCACAAAAATGAGAAAAACTGACTTACCTTTGTATGTGGAAGACCTAAACTGCCACATGTTTAAAAAACAAAAATCAGAACTACGAACAAATGCTATTAAATAGGGGAAAAAAATGAAAAAAGAGAGAAAGTACAGGTATTACTCAGTTAAAGAATTAATTTCCCTTCCTTCCTACAGGAGGATTAAAAGCAAGACTGAGATTGTTGCAAAAGAATAGCGCAAAGGTTTTGGGTAATTAGAGGATGCTGTAGTGCAATTATATAATAATAAGAACACTACAAAAAAGCTTCTTCTTTAAAAAAAAAAAAAAAAAGCAGGAACCATGGTAAAAGATTGAGTATTAATGTAAACATGACACGATACTTGAATTTCCTGTTTACGTCTATCTTATTTTTTTATTATTTCCTGTTTAGTTGTTTGGTGAGATTAGTGATGCCAGCGGAGTGACTTTCATCGTCTGTATTAAATCTGTATGTTTTACATAATAATAAAATGAATAAATATTACTGATTGCATGACAACCTCCTCTAACTGTCCTTTGGAAAGGATAATCGTTTCAGACATTCAGCATGCTTAATAGTTCAGAATCAGACTGTCGTTTTTACAATAGTCTGTTGTTTATTATTTACAAAAAAAATACAAAACATTTTCACCATTCATGGAGACAGTGTAGGATTATTTTGATTTGTTTCCTGATGTATGTGATGTATGTTTTGTGTCTGTAAAGCAAATTCCTGCAATCAGCTACCTACATCTTATCTCTCACTCACTGCGCTGCAAAAACAGAAAGATCAAACAGTCGTATTACAGATGGTGTCACATATTTGTGAATCCATAACTACGTGTATTCAGGCAGCTTGGCATGCAGAGACCCTGCAGCTGTTGAGGGGGGACTGTCAGCGGGAGTGTATTTATGTCAGATCTATGCCAACATTTGTGAGTTACAAAGAAAGGTTCGGGCAGTAATTAACTGTCTTTTAATTTATTAATTAAAAGCTCAACTCGGACCTCAAAAGCTTTACTCAGAATGTATTCTCTGGAGTAAATCTTCTCGAATTCTTCCGTTTAAAAATGTATTACTAACTGGTCTGCAGGAGGCAGCATTGCAGCCGACAGTGGATTACCTGTCGGATTTCCTTGGTAAAAGAAGAAGAGAAGTAGGAAGACTTCCCTGTGGCCAATAATTCATTCCTCTTTGGAAACAGTTAAAGGAAAGCACCGTCTCCTGCCTCGACATGTCTACAGCGTACAAAAACAGGTGAGAGGCATTCAAATCTCTGCCCTCGTGAGGGATATAGGGCGCGCGCACATACTGAAGCTGTTTATTTCAGCAGCTAGCCTCCAAAGCGTAGAATTAGCATTAGCAGCAGCAGCCCCGCTGACCAGACACGAGCCCAGTTACAGCCGCTGGAACACGCGCACTGTGAACGCTAATATGGGTTTTTCAGCTAAAAAAAAAAGAGTCACCGTTAGTATCGCAGATGGAAAGCGCGCAGGGTGCTTTGTAAACTCAAGTATTCAGGTGTTATGCTACCTCCGTGTTAGCACATCAGGTGACACAACTTCCTCCACTCCCAAAAGGCTAACAATTAGCCACTGTCCGGCTAACGGTATGTGCTGACTTTGTTTGTGTCACCGAAAGATTGACAATAAATCAGCTGTTCACACATAAACACTAGACCTGAACGGAAATTAAAACACATGTGCTTACTACAAACGAACCCGGCCCTCTGACCTGATAACTGCTCGACAAAAAGACCTTCGTAATGCCTTTTTATGTTTTTTTTTCTCTTTTGCTTTTTCTTTATTGAGCAAATCTTTTTCGTTAACAGTACATATTTTACAGAAGCTGACAATATTACCATGTCTTTGCTGTCAATGTAATAATCAAATCTCAGAGTAAATAGAGCCAAGTAAAGACTCGAAAACGATGTAAACACAAGCTGAAAATTTGACAGAGGAAGGACGGTTACACAAATGGCAGATTCTTATAATAGGAAAAGCAGGGTGTTTTCTGTTTAAAGTTTCCTTTAGATTTCAGGGAAAAGGGCCTATGGGGCGAATGTAGTAGGAAAAATAGTTACTGAGAAAACCCCCAAATTTTTTAGAAGAAAATAGCAAATTATTACAAGGAAATAATAGGAAGAATAATAGGTCTACAAGGAAGAAATGTTTAATTTCTGAGGGAACAATAGCAAATTTCTGTGAAAATGTTGAGGAAATAAAACAAAATGAATAAGGAAATAACAGTTATATTCTTGAGGCGGAACATTTTTGAGGGAAAAGTGACACATTTGTGGGGGGCGGCATCAGTTTTGTTTAAATTTCTGACACATTTCTGAGTCAAAAATACACCCAAGTGAGAAGAAAATGGAAGATTTAAGGGAAATAATCAACTTGGAGAGGAAAAATGGTAAACGTATGGAGAGAAAAAACCCCCAGATCTGTGTGAGGGAGGAACAGAGGCAAATTTGTGTGGACGAAATGGGCAATTATACAAGACCTGGTAATGTAATGAGAATAAATGGAAAGTGTACGAAATTACATTTATTTACATCTGATGAACAGATATGTTTTCTGTGCTTTAAAAAATGGCTCAAATATTTACATCTTAATTCTGGGTTTAATTTTTCCTGTGGGAGATCGGCTCAAACTTCTTTGGGGAACGGCCGTCATGGCATCGCTCACTATTAACACTAGGGCTGCATGATTTTGCATAAAATGAGAATCACGATTTTTTTGGCTTAGAATTGAGATCACGATTCTCTCACGATTCTCTTTTCCAGTATAAATATTTATTGCACTTATTAACTGCACATCAACTTCGTAACAGTTGAGACTGAACATAAAAACAATAAATAAACATAAAAACAACAAATGTCTCACGTTTTGTTGTTGCCGCAAAATGTTGTACTGCTTGAAATTCCGTCTCCGTTGCTGGACGCTGCGTGTATAGAGCAGGTAGTGCAACAATAGAAAAATAGTTGCGGGACGGCACTGTGTAGCGTTTGTCTAGGGTGTTGATCATTTTCCTCGTTTTGCACAGTGTTGATGGGAGCCATATCTTTGGTCAGGTGATAAGTGATAGCCTCCGTAATTTCTTTGAGTTCGACGTTCATAGGGAAGCGCTGTATAAGGTTCCCATTATTGATGTTTGGGTGGTTGACCGGGACGGATTTTCTCCAGTCACTTTCTCGTCATCCCTGACGTGCTCTCCGTTGTTTTTCCCCCTGCTAATTTTAGCATCACACGGCACAGCTTCTGTATCACGTGGTATAAGGCTCCGCCCTTGTCATTTGTTGAGCAGGAAGAGTGAGCGCTTGTTTTTATGCAGATTACGTCCCGGATCAAAATGCGGTACAGTCGTCGTCGTCGTCTTTTTTTTTTTCTTTTTTTTTTTTTTTAAACGTTGTCATTTGGAAATGAGATCGCACATAAGTATGAATCGAGATCGCGATTTTCTAACGATTAATCGTGCAGCCCTAATTAAGACTTTTCAGTCGGGATTGAAAAGTGTTAATAGTGAGCGATGCCATTTCCCCATCGTCATATTTGACTCCGAGACAAGAGGCTGTCATCAATCTTCTTCTAAAATTCACTCTCTCCTGTTGTCTCTCTAACTCTGGTGAGTTAACATTTGGTTCAGAAATGAAACTGGCTCTAATCTTGCCTCCTTTTTTTCAGGATACAAGAGTTCAAAGTGGCCTTGGCTGAAGAAAAAATCAACTTGAAGACACTGAGGGAGCTGTGCTTTAATGGTAACTGGATTTTTTGAAGGGGTGGGACTGGTAATGTAATAGTACAATATTCTGTTAAGCTTTACTGACGGAACCTTTCTTTATTTAATGCAGGAATCCCTTTTGAAGGAGGCATACGAGCGCTGTGCTGGAAGGTGAGTCGCCCTGCCTCATGGGACCATTTTAGCTTTAACTGGTTGTAATTGTATAAACTGGCGTCTCACTTTACAGACAAAAACATACCAGCAGACTCAAAGGTGTACTTTGAGGAAATGCCTCCAATACTTTATTACCTCATACTGTGAAAAGAAGATGTGATGCTCTTTTACGGCTGAACACTTTACAGTTTACTGGGCTGTTGGTGTCTAAGACAACTAACAATATCAGGGAACTGATTTTCTCTCCGTGAAATATCCAAACTCCAGGAAACACGGAAAAAATGCTAAGAGTTTCACTAATAGCTGCTGATCTGTTGTCTGCACTTTCTTTTTAATACTACAGCTTGTGTCTACATCCCTGCTGACACATGACACTTTCAACACTCCCACCACATGAGACCAAACTACAGACTGTATATAAAAGCTGGACATAGCCTCAGTGATGTCACCCAGTGGTTTTGGAGTGTGCAAGGAGCTTTGATCTGTTTGTAGGAGTGAAACGGCTTTAATTATGTTTTTAACACAGAGCGTCGTTCTTCTTGTGTTTTGTTTACCTCCTTCTCAGATCCTTCTTAATTACCTACCTGTTGATCAGACCCAGTGGGAGTCTTTCCTGAAAAAGCAAAGGTAAGTGGATCAGTTTAAAGCCCGATCAAAGAGCTGGTGCTTTGATTTTATTTAGGAGAACCCTTGTTTTGTGTCAGCTGCTCTGAGTCTGATTCACAAAACCTGATGCTGCTTATTATGATGCATTATGGTTGAAGTCGCAGCTCTGTTGTGGTTTCCTCTGTTTCACATGAGAGCACTGAGACCCAGTTTGGTCTTAACCACTCTTTCCTTCTACTGGGGAAATCAGTGAAATCTAAGAGTGGTGAAAAAGGACATTTTTAGTAAATGAATATGCAGCCTAAAGAAGATTGTCTTTTCCACCTCTGATTATTTAGATTTAGCAGTAAGTCTGCTCTGTGAGCTTCCCGATGTTCCATGTGCATAGATGGAAAGCTGGAGGCTTCTTGATTCTTATTCACTTTAAATGTGCCGAACTCCCGAGTGGCCACACTACACTGTGGTTCTTTTGCTTTGTTTTGTGAATGCTGCTTAATTTGAAAAGATGAGTCAACCTAATTTTAAATGCTGCGGCTCAGTTGAGTAGTTCTTAAACTTTTTGCTTCACTTCAGTAGCTGGAAAAGGACACAAGTTTTATCAGTCATCAGCAATCCAAATACAAGGACCCAAAGTAATCTTAAAACTTTTGGCCAGAGGGGCCGATGGCGCGATATGGCAGCCTCGCTTCTGTCAGTCTGACCCAGGGCAGCTGTGGCTACAACTGTAGCTGCCTCCACCAGTGTGTGAATGTGAGAGTGAATGAATAGTGGCATTGTAAAGCGCTTTGGGTGCCTTGAAAAGCGCTATATAAATCCAATCCATTATTATTATTATTTAAAAAAGGTGACACATACACAGGGGGAAAAGCAAGCAAACTCAGAAGGGAAACGCTGACAAATTTACAAGAGGAAAAACTGTAGAGTCATTTTTCTTTTAGAGTTTAAACTATTTAATCAGTCAAACTTGTCAAAGAATAGAAAATCTAAAAAGAAACTTTATTTAACTTCAAAAACAGGACGTGAATCCTTCCATGTGATTCACTAATATATGAGAATCTGATGTGACTAATCAAATTCAGTGATTATTAATCAATTAATGTATTCTTTCCTTTTCTTCCATGGGTCTCACAGAGAGGTGTACTCCCAGTTCCTGAAGGAGATGATCATCCAGCCCGGCATTGCCAACGCCAACCTGGGCCTTTCCAGAGAAGACGTGACGATGGAGGATCACGTGAGTCATCCTCTGTCGTTCTCTCTTTGCTGCAGTGACGAGCTGAAAGAAATAATGAAACCAAATTGTGCTATGAGTGATAAATCGAAATGAAAATTAGCATCACCTCCCAACAGTTATACAAGTGTCAGATTGAGATAAACAGTGTGGATTCTCCTGCTGAGTGCCATTAAACTGTGTCAGGTGAATATAATTACAGAGTGAGGTCTAAAGTCGTAAAACACTCACTGCTGCTGTTTTCAACTCGAGCACTCAGCAAGCAGGAGTTTGGTCTGATTCTGTTACAGATCTTTAGCTGAGGTCTGCATAATAAAGATTTTACTGGACTCGCAACATTAAATTTTATGGCTTGGCTTCATAAGGTTGTGCTTGAGTGAACCTTTAAACGTGCGAGTACTGAATAATACCTTTCACTTTGTGACTGCTGCCCACACTGAGCACCGACTGTGTGCAGTAATGTATATTTGCACGATGGCACACAGTGTAGCATAAATTAGAGCTTTTTAAACAACCAAATCCATCACAATGAGTGCCTACCATGAATTAATTTGGGGGCGACTGTGGCTCAGGGGGTTGGGAATCGCATCTGTAACCGGAAGGTCGCTGGTTCGATCCCTGGGCTCTGTCCTGGTTGTTGTGTCCTTGGGCAAGACGCTTTACCCTACCGCCTACTGGTGATGGCCAGAGGGGCCGATGGCGCGATATGGCAGCCTCACTTCTGTCAGTCTGCCCCAGGGCAGCTGTGGCTACAACTGTAGCTGCCTCCACCAGTGTGTGAATGTGAGAGTGACTGAATAGTCGTATTGTAAAGCACTTTGGCTGCCTTGAAAAGCGCTATATAAATCCAATCCATTATTATTATTATTATTATTATTATTATTATTATTATTATTATTATTTATCACTCATATGCACATGGCTGTGCTTCATCTGTTTGACTCTAAAAACGTGGGAGTCAGAGTCTGAAGTGGTAAGAACCCAAGTTATCTCCATGCACACAGTGCACACACGCAGCAGCGTGATTCTGAAACTGTCGGATTTATATTTTGAAGTCACTTTAAAGTCAAATTTGCTCTGCAGTCAGATAAACGCTGAAGAGATGTACAGCACGTCCTTAAAGATCACAGAAATATAGATCACCTTCTCCTGTGGCTCTTTGTCATGAGCCACTTGTCTTGACGAGTTTGATTGAATAGTTTTTATCTGATCTGATTCTTTTCAGCCTCTGAATCCAAACCCTGACAGCAGGTGGAACACCTACTTTAAAGATAATGAAATTCTGCTGCAGATCGACAAAGACGTGAGGTAAACACCTTTACCAGCTGTTCTGTTACTTCTGTTAAATAACAGTAATGTGAATGTGAGTGTTCACCTGCAGGCGGCTGTACCCGGACATGGCGTTCTTCCAGCGCCCCACAGAGTACCCCTGTCAGCTGATCCTGGACCCTCAGAACGACTACGAGACACTGCGTCGCCGAGTGGAGCAGACGACGCTGAAGGCACAAACGGTGAACTGCAACCGCAGCGGGGTCACCAATGTAAGCCTACATCCAGGGCATGAATGCGATTGTGGGGTCCAGCTCAGTTTTGCTGATTCAGGCCCATCTGTTGAATTTTGACTTTTCTGCCCCGCTTACAGTACAAACAGGTTAGTTCAGGTACAGTGACGCGCTGAAACAAAACCATCATCCTGGTATTAACAGCAGGAAGGGTTGAAGTTACTCACACGGCTTACATCAAAGCTGACACAGGTACAGCTGAGAAAAGAAAACAGTTAATGACTAAGAATTCATCTCATTAGAAATGTAATAGGAATGTATAACTTATGATGGAATGATGATGGCCATCGTCAGCTATTTACATTCGTTTGTTGTACATGACTTTTCTGTAAACATTTATCCACCTATAAATCACAAACCTCAATTACTGCTTAATTACTGCAACATTACATAAAGTTTTTAAAACTACACGTTTACACAGTCACTTAAAGAGGAAATGGTTCAGCATTTTTCTACAGGTCAGGCATTTTAACCCTCAGGTTAATATCTGTAAAAGGGGTTTTAATTAACTTAGAAATTTAGATGTAAATGACTGAAAGGGCAATACTTTACCTCAAAGGAATGATCGTGGTTCTTTGGATAATATCTAGACAGATTCCTCTCTCTGCCGTGACCGTCTTTCAACCTCAGTTAATGGTGAAAAATGTAGATCATGTCCTGTACCAGGCAGGAAATAAAAACTTGGCAGTTGTTAAAACTTAAACCCCCTGGTGACTGCTAAAACGTGCACATAATGTGTAAACGTTAAGTTTGAGTTATGTGCAGAAAAAGTGTGTGTTCACAAAGCAGCCTTGGTCACACAGTTTGTGTGTACAAAGAAACAGTAGTTTTATTCAGAGGGCAGCAAGATTATTTATGTAGTGGAGAAACCCTGCTCATGTGGATATGACTAATCAGCATGAGCACCATGTCTCCATTTGTTTCACATCTATTTGATATTTGGTAACATTTACAGACATAACTGGCATAAATCAGGTGTTTCCTTCGCCAGTAAACGATAATAACATGGGCACATGTCTAATTGTCATTAATAGCATGTGTTCTGTGATAATAAGAATATTTTATATGTGTTTGGCATATTTGCATTACAGTTTTGTCTGTTAGCATAAAAAAATGCAAAAAAACCCCAAAAACGTTAATCCTTGCTTCCATGTGATTGGCTGATTAGATATTACTGTTGCTATGCAGTTGTACAGGTGTGCCTAACAAAGTGGCCATTGAGTGTATGTTACTTAAAATCTGTTTCGGATCAGCTGTGTCTTGTTTTCTCAGGTGAGTTCACCTGGAAAGGCGCTGAACCTGTATCCATCTAACGAGTACGAGGTGCTGCCCAATGGCAGTGAAGCCCACTGGGAGGTGGTAGAGCGGATCCTCTTCATTTATGCCAAACTGAACCCTGGCATCGCCTACGTCCAGGGCATGAATGAGATTGTGGGGCCAATTTACTACACGTTTGCCACAGATCCCAACAGCGAGTGGAAAGGTTTGTAACGTTTAAAAGGGGAAAAAAGCTTACATAAACTCTGTTTTCCTTTTGGTGATTTATTTTTTTGTTTGTTTTTTACTGCGGCATCTCACAGAGCACGCTGAGGCAGACACCTTCTTCTGTTTCACCAATCTGATGTCGGAGAACAGAGATAACTTCATCAAGAGCCTGGACGACTCTCAGTGTGGCATTACCTACAAGATGGAGAGTGTGTACTCCATGCTCAAAGACAAAGACATGGAGCTATATCTTAAGCTGGTAAGGTTCACCTTTAACACATTTCTTGTTCCTTCCACTAAACACAGACGCAAACAAGTATTTTCTTCAATAACTCAATTACCAAATTGACTTGAATATGCTTTGTAACCAGGGTTTTAATAGTTTTGCAATTTTCATTAGTTTTTATTTTTATTTAGTTTTGACTTCAGATTTTCAATTTTATATCAGTTTTAATTAGTTTTTACCAATTGTTTGCTAGTTTAGTTTAGTTTTTATTTTTTTGAAAATCCTTAGTTTCAGTTTAGTTTTGATTAGTTTCAGTTATAGTTTTAGTTG